GGGTGTAAGTTAAAGTGCTCCCGTGGCGGGGTGTAAGTTAAAGTGCTCCCGTGGCGGGGTGTAAGTTAAAGGGCCTCCCAAGGGAAGTGACTGCAGAGGTGAATAAGGCCTTGCGCTGGTGTCTGCGTTTTGTGTGTGACTGTTACTCAGGGACTCTTCCCTTTCCCCAGGTCATGAATTGGTCCCACCGGGCTTGAAAGAAGTGGCCAAGTCCTGACCCTCACAGAGACTTGATTTTGCACAAGTGGCTCCTTTCGTGTGTCCTGCGCTCTCTTCCTTCTGGTGGGAGAAATCAGGACCTTGCCACGAAATCGCAGGCCCGGATTGCTTTGACGGGGACTCTGAGCAGCGTCTTACGTGAGTTAGCTCCGCTTCACGGGCGTGCTGAGCTCCGAGCCGCCGGCTTGCTGCGCCCCGGTTCATCTGGGCCTCAAAAGCCGCAGCGAGAACAGGGTCAGTTTCATTTCACACGGCTCAGTCCTCTGCCATCTCTGCCCGCCCTTTAAACACGAGCGGCAGCTTCAGTGCATGTTGCTGGCAGCCAAGGAGAACAAGTCACCGCCAGAACAATTTTTAAGCCACTTCGGAGACGCGGGAAGGGACATTCAAATTCTGGCAACCTTCCTGCAGATTAATGCACATGAGTTGACCCTGCTCCTGTCAAGGAGAGGGCGGGCCGCAGGGAGGCGAGAAAGAACTGACGAGAAAAGGCTGCAGAGTGGCCTGGGCCTCGGGAAGGCTGTTCTGGGGGGAGCTAAAGGGGAGCTTGAAGGCACGGGGTGCAGATGCTCACTGTGGGGTGAGGACATGGTCGGGGCATGAAACTACTGCAGAATCTGCAGGCCTACGGTGAGGACCAGAGAGTGGCAGGTGCCTGGAAGGAAAGGGGAGCAGGGCCCAGGGCGGGGCTGCAGGGAAGCCCGGGGCCCCACGGGACCCCCATGGCCACAGCCAAGAGCCGGCTTCACCCCGCTCCTGTGCCTGCCGTCAGCTCCGTCAGGGAGGTCTCTAAGAAGAGGCTCCTCGCGGTGCCGGAGCAGGCCCTGGCCTCAGAGGGAGGCAGGGTCGTTTGGTTTTGCAATGGCTTTGCTGGGCGATGATTCTGCGTCACATTTCCACCCCAAGCGTGCGACCCAGAGGCTTTCAGGGGTGCTTCGCCGTCACTGTCTAGAGCAGTTCGTCGCCCCCCAGGGGAGCCCCTCCCCCACCCCGGGCACCAGCCCCCCAGACCAGGCAGTCGCGGGCGCGTGGCGGCTGGGCCTCTCCTGCCGGGCTGCGGGCCCAGCGCCGGTCTGGGGCTCAGCCCTCGCGGGGGCCCCCTTGCGGCTGCTCTTCCACCGCACTCCCAGGGCCTGACGGCTGTTCCAGCACTGAGACCTGTCTGCGCCGGGAGCAGTCTCCCCTCCTTGCTTTCCCTCGCGAGGGTTCCCCAGCCCCACTACGCAGGCGCGTTCCAGCGACATCGCTATTCCAAATGCCACCATCTTGCACGAGACACTTTCCGGAGACGACGGAGAACACGCACGCACGCTGCCGGGGCCAAGGCTCAGGGGTCAGGCGAGGCCCCTGGACACCGCCCTCCCCCCCCTCTCGCGCCCTCCCTGGCCAGGGCATCGGGCGGGCGTCAGACTCACATGTCGTAGATGCAGTTTGGGGTGAAGGAGTGATTCGCCTTGTGGCCCAAGGAGGCACAGTACTTGGAGAGGTGTCTGTAGGGCTCAGGGACGTCGATGACCGTCTCCTCGTCCAGGGACAGGGTGTTCCCGTTCAGCGCCCAGTCCCTGCTGTCCACCTGCGGAAAGGAGGCGCGGGCATCAGGCCGGCCCAAGGCCTCGGAGGACGTGGGAGGCGCCGGCTCCCGTTCCCTGAACGTCCCTGCGGAGTAAGAAGAGCCTCGCCCGCACATCAGTGAGGCAGCCCCCCACCCCCATTAGGATTTTTCCTTATCTTATGTGAAAAGAAGGATTCAAAGTTGGGAACCCACGGCGGCCATGACGGTGTCCTCCTGCGTCTGCTCCTCTTGTAAGAACGCGGGCGGCTCACAATGGGCCAGAAACGCCCCTGGCCTGGGAAGGAGGCTAGGACAGGCTTTTCATGAACTGACGGCTGTGCCTCAGATCCCAGGCCCGGAAGTGCGATCGCGGCCGCCAAGGTGACCAATGTGTGCAAACTCTGGTAAAGAGGTAAACAACGGTGTCCTCCAGGCCAGAGGTGATTGAGCTCCTGACCTCTGAATTTTTTGCTTTTCTGACAGTAGTGCCCCTCCAGGTAAGATGGAGGCCACCAGCAGAGCTGGGGTCCCCCTGTGAGCCTCGGTCATGGGTGCCCACGAGCACCACGGAGCCTCACCTCTCAGGCCAGGTGGAGTGCAGGCCAAAGCGGCCGCCTCCCACTGGTGCTGCAGAACAGCGGCTTCCCTGGACAACCCCCACCCCGCGCCACAGCTGTGGATTGACACGCTATCGCAGATCGTGGGCCTGACGCCCCCGAGGGGTCGACACCTGCAGCAGGCTGACTGTCTGTGGCCCCCAGGTCACGTGTAGGACCCCTGTCCCAGGCGATGCACTGGGAAGGAGGGCCTTGGGGTCACAGGGGCGGCAGAGCATCCTGAGGGGGTCAGCGCCTGGCTAGAATGTGCAGATGGAGGGGTCTCAAAAGATTAAAACTGGGGCCCTCCCTGGTGGCGCAACGGGTTAAAACAGCACTATAAAGCTATCCGCAGCCACCGCAGCATGTTGCGAGTTTGGAGGCGTCCACATGGAGCAGCAGACCCCTCCTGACCTGCCTGCTGCTCCCCTCAGCAGTGTGTTTCAGTCTGTCGGCCTGTTCTGCTCCCTACTTTGTCTCTGGTGAATCTGCTCACCCTCCACACCTCTGGCCTGTACCCCAGTTCTTATATGCATGCATAAATAAATCTCTTTTAAAAAAATATTAAAACTGGATCTGCCATATGGCCCAGTAATTCCCCTCCTTAACACTTACCTGAAAAATTAAAAATAAAATACTAATTTGGAAGTAATTTGTACTCCCACATTTACTGCAGCACTATTCACAATAGACAAACAATGGAAACGATCAAAGTGCCCCCAAACAGTTGAATGGATCAAGAAGATATGGCATATACCCAGTGGAATACTACACAGCGATCAAAAAGCAACCCCATGCCATTTGCAGCAACATGGATGGAGCTGAAAGGGGTCAGACTAAGTGAAAAGTCAGATGCAGAAAAATAAATACCATATGCTGTCACTTATATGTCGAATATAGAATTATCAAACTAAAGGTCAGATTAAAGACAAGCTTTAAAACTAACCCTTGAACACAAAAACACTGATTGAAAAAGATACCTGCACCCCCATGTTGATTGCTGCTTTATTTACAATTGGAAAAACATGGAAGCAGCCCAAATGCCCAAAAGTAGATGACTGGATTAGAAAGATGTGGTACAGGCCCTCCCCGGTGGCGCAGAGGGTTAAAGCACAGCACCAAGAAGCTTAAGCCACTTGCGCATGAGTTCGATCCCTGCCTGCCCTGGAGGAGATCCACATGGCGCGGCAGACCTCTCCTGACCCGCCCGCTGCTCCCCTCAGCAGTGTACTTCCTTGATCTGCCTGTTCTGCTCCCCACTCTGTCTCTGGTGAATCCACTCACCCTCCGCATCTCTGGCCTGTATCCCAATTCTGTATGAATAAATAAATAAATCTTTAAAAAAAAAAAAAGATGTGGTACATATATACAATGGAATATTACTCAGCAACCAAAAAAGAGAAACACATGTCTTTTGCAGCAACTTGGATGGAGCTGGAAAAGATCATGCTTAGTGAGATCAGCCAGAAAGAGAAAGAAAAATACCGGATGGTTTCGCTCATAATGGACCAGGCGAGAAAATAACAAAAATAATGAACAACCATATACCAGAGACATTCTGTGGGGGTGGAGTGGGGAATGGGATCAAAAACGGGGGGGAGGGAAATGCACGGGACTATGGTGATGGCACAGGGGTGACTTGGTGATGGGAAACCTGTGGGGATTACAATTGAGATGGCAAAAAAAAATGTACAAAATGATGTAAAAATAAACTTTTGTAATAAAAAAAAAACCTAACCCTTGAAAGCTGGCAGTAGAACAGAAGCTTCCAGAGTGGTGGAGGTGGGGGACAGGAGAGAACGAAGATGGGAGACGCACAATGAACTGCAGTGGTGACGGGAGGTGCACCGAGGGGCACAGGGACCCCACTCTGCCGGCAAGAATGTAAACAGTCACCTCAATGAAGACAAGAATGACGGCCGGAGGAAGAGCTGGCCCCTCCGCATCGTGGGCTACTGCAAAGAGCTGTTTATGAAGCACCGGCGGGCTCTTGCCAGCACCTTGGCGTTGGACATCCCAACCTCCAGCACTGAGAAACAATTCCTGTTCCTTACAAGCTGCCCGGTCTGCGGTATTTTGGCTACGGCAGTGTGAAGACTGTTCTAGGCAATATACAATTACTTTAGTAAAAACTCAGCTGCTGGCTTCTTTGTATCTCTAGGGGGTTTCCCTTGTAGTTCAAGGGACTAAGGGGAAAATCAGGGGGCCCGAAGCAAAGTCCTTAAGCTGCTTCCCCGCCCCCTCACTCACCTCCTGGTGCGTGATTCGGACTCCATTATAAAAAGACATGACAGTGTTAGGTCCCGCCGCCACCTTTGAAAACAGCCCTTCTCCGGCGCTGGAAATGAGAGATTCAGCAACATAAACCCTAAACAGAACAGAGTCAAACAATGATGTTTTTGGTTTGATCTATTGCTTCCACCTCAACCGCCAAAATCTCTTTATGGCTTCTGAGTCCAAAATGTCACCTCCTGATAATAACTCAAGGATGGGAGGAAGGGAGGAAACATTAAAGCCAGTATGTGCCACCTAGCATGGAAGTAAGTGAAATGGCCCTCAGGTCTTCTTTAAGAGCGGTGTTTCAAATTTCCTCCTTTGTATGGGTTCAAATTATTCCTACGACAGTTCACTGTTTGCTAGAAGCTTATTTATATTATTTTTTCTTGCTTTTAACTAATGACAAGTAAGGCATTTTCCAAAGCTAATTCAAACCTCACCCAGGTTGGTCACTGACCACACAAGGCTATGAGACCCCAAGGTGTTCATGAGACCCCAAGGTGAAACTGTTACATACAAGCACAAGCATGGTAGTTAATAAGACACACCCAGGCCTTCCCTGGTGGAGCAGCCAATCGAAGCACAAAACTATGAGGCCAAAGCCGCTTCAGCATGAGTTCGATTCCCAGTCAGGGAGTGACCCACAGGCCACAGCAGACCTCTCCTGGCTCCCCACTGCTCCCCTCAATAGTGTATTTCAGTCGATCTGCCTGTTCTGCTCCCCACTCTGTCTCTGGTGAATCCTCTCACCGCCCCTGCACCCCTGGCCTGTACCCCAGTTCTGTGTGCATAAATAAATATCTTAAAAAAAAAAAAAAGAGACACCCAGTGTGCACTTCTCCACAAAGGAGAAGCAGGACAATTAACTATTGTCCAAGAGCCAAAATCGGCAGCTGCTCACCTTCCTAAGTAGTTTTACTGGGACAACAATTTGTATGATATTGTCTACGACTGCTTAGTGCTACAAGGCAGAAATGAGTAGGTGCAACAGAAGTGAGGAAGCCTCCAGTATTTACTCTGTGGCGCTTGACAGCACATTTGCCAGTAGGTGGCTTGTAAGAAAGATCACCTGTGAATACAGACAGGACATGGGCAAGAGAGCTGTGCCTCATTTCTGTAGAACTCATCATAGCCATCAGCCAGGAATGTAAGTGTCCACTGAGGGGTGAACGGATAAGGTTGTGGGGTATATACCCAGTGGAATATTATGCAGCCATACAAAATAGTAACAATATGAAACCGGGCATTTGCGACAACATAGATGGGCCGGGAAGGTTGATGGTTAGTGAAGTGAGTTAGAAGGGGACAGAGAGCCTATGATTTCACTCCTATATGGCAGATGAAGAAATAAAACAAGCAAGCAAATCAAAACAAATATAAACTTTGGCACTAAGAGCGAGAGTAGCTCCCAGAAGAGCAGGTGCAAGGGGGGTGCTGGATAAATCAGGTAAAAGGGGCACACCGCTGGCGCTGAATAGGCTGGACTTGGTGAACACGGTGCATTAGACACAGGTGCCCAACTGCAGCGCTGTCCACCTGAACTGGTAGGATGTTACCAACCATGAATTCAATTAAAAAATGACAACTATCTGAACGAGCACTGCCAGCAGCTCCTTCAGCTCTTGGTTCTGTGGTGCAGTGACTCCGGTAGAGTCTGTGGTTTTCGCCTCATTGATGTGAGGCCTATTTTATGGAATGGAACACTGATGCCAGCTGCCAGCATCTGTCTCCCTCTTTGCCACCTGGGCACAGGGCCTGTGGGTGCCTCTGCCCTGGGCACTTGAGAATGTAGCCTGCCAGCTGCTGTGCGCTCGGCCCTCTGTGCTGCTTTGCTTCCAGAATGTGGGAGCAGGTGTGTGCCAGGTCTCAGGTGGGGAGGCCCCGGCTGGTTCCTGGCAGGGTTTCCATTCCTGGGGGCCTGACTCCCATGGCTAAGTGCTGGCCCGAGTGCAGGTAAGACGGACCCAAACCAGCTTGGGACCTGGAGTCCCGCTGGGCTCACTGGCCCCTGCTGAGCCTGGTCAACACGGCTGACCCAGCCAGCTGACGGAAACGGGAGAAGGGCTGTTTTGCTCAACCACCGAGGGGAGGGCGTGAGTGGGTGACCGACTTAGGAACAGAAGGCCGAGACCTCGGTGATGACACTGCATTTGGAGGCTCACAAGAAACCAGGCCCCTTCCTCTGTAAGGGAGCTGGAACCTTATGTCAAGAAAGTAGCTGTCATGCCTCGGACCTTATGGGGCCCAGCTGTCAGTTAACCCTCGTGGCAGGGCACACGCAAAGAAGTGGACGCCAGGCAAAGGAAAGCCCAGTGCAGACGGCACGCTGGCTCGGGAGGCCAGCAGCTTGGAGAAGACGGCCAGCAGGGAACCAGGGGCTCAGGAGCTGGTGTGTGCACAAGGTGCCGAGCGGAACGCTCTGGGCGTGAGCGTGCGGAGTGCAGAGCCTGCCACTTGTGAGCTGGCCTGGCCTTGCGCTTCTTGGCTTTGCTCTGCTTCGCTCCTGTCTCTGCTAAGGAACTGGGAAATTGTCTTGTCTTTGGAGCCCAGGGAGGGAACCTCTGCTTCCACTGGCCAGAGCTTGCACAGTGTGAAATGCTCCCGGGGGCCCGAGGGGCTGCAGCAGAGACTGGGCCCGAGCCCCAGGAAAGGGGCGGGGGCCGGACCTCGCTGGGCGCCAGGCCCACCTTCCCTCTGCTCTGCCTCGCGGGTAGAGAGACTCACAGGACAGGTCCCATGTGAAACGCAACCACTCTCCCCGGAGAGTGAGGAATGACTTCCAGCTCCGAACTTGGCCTAACGTAGGAATCACAGAGGAACTGTGACCCTCCCCGCAGTCGTTCACCCTCACACAACCATTCAAGCCACCGGGGAGATTACCTCTCTGCTTCATAAGGATCTGGAAGAAGAGCGTTGGTAGCAATGCAAGAAGACGTGGACTTATCAAAGTGGAACACCGGACCTAGAAGGCAAAGGAAGGCGTCTGTGCAGGAACAGGCAGGGAGGCAGCTTGAGCGCCTCCCTCTACCCAAGGGGGAGAGTTAAAGGCCCCAAACTGTGATTCAAGCTAGAGCACGGACGTGAAACTCTGAAAGATAAAGGGTGTTCCTGGGATGGGCCCGAGTTTGATGTCCAAATCTTCACAGTCATCAGGCGGGCCTGAGGGTATCCCTTTTTTGCTTTTGAATTTTCTTCATTCAAATGGTTTGAAAGATGCTTGTATAATTGAAATTTTTATAGCAAGAACATGTCATGAAATCATGAGCTGTCTGGTTGGAACAGATTGGATAATGGTTTTTAAATTCCCCTGCGATTTTCTTCATATTAGACCCAGTCTGTAGCCCTGGCAATGGACTTCTTCTCTGAAATAAACAGCCTCTCCAGAAGGAACAGGAACAGAACTGCTCTCGATAAAGCATTAGTCAAGTCATCGCGTTTCCATTATGGCGGCTCAGAAGTCGGTTAGTAATTTATTCCAGAAACGAAGGTACCCAACTGTCCCAGAGTCAACACATTTCTCTGCCAAGGACCGGCTGGGAGCACAGTGAGGACTCAGCCGGGAAGACGCATAAGGGGAGACTCGAGTTTTGGAACTGGAGGACTTCCTCCTGCAAAGTCAATTATTTCAGGCCCTGGGGCAGCACAAATAATCCCATTAAGCAATTTCTCAGTGGTTACCCATGGTTACCAGGTCCTCTCTGTTTCTGTAATATAATCAGATCCCAAATTAATGTCGCAAACTCAAAGTTCGAAAACAATCCAGATCCATCAGTATCTAACCAGGAAACAGCCCATTTGAGGGTCTCAAAGAGAGAATTTAATTCAGGAAACCGGTTACATAGAGGCCAGAAGAGCCGAGAGGCCGGCGAGGCAGAGAGCGGCGCCCAGAGCTGGTCGAAGCTGCGCCGCGGACCTGAGACAGGCTGGCGGCGGCCCAGGGAAGACCAGCGCTGGGGGAGCCCTGCTGCGCAGAGGGCTTGGAGGTGCTGCTGGACACGCAGAGGGCGTGTCCTGGCCGTCTGGGTCCTGCTGGCCAAGCCCAGCAGAGCCGGGTGTGCAGGAGGCTGGGGCGCACCTGCCGGAGCCCACCTGAGGGCAGCCGGAAGGCGGCGTCAACCGGGAGAGGGGTTTTGCTCAAAAAAGAAAAAAAGCCCTCGCTGCCAAGCAAATGTTTCTGTGCAGTCGGGTTCGACTGTGCAGAAATTCTGCCAGCGCTCACGGCCTTTCCCCAGACCAAGCCTGTCACAAGCGACGACGGCCAGTGGCATCAGCGCCTGGCCGGGCCTGGGCAGGTCGTGCTGGACTCACGGACGCTCGGGCACACGGAATACCTCCTCGCTCCGTAGTTCATGCGAAGCCCTTGGCTTGGCTCATTCAGTCCCTTGACAAGACTTAAGTCTAGGCGGTGAGCGTGGCCCGGAAGATGCAACCCAGACTGGCCAAGGAAAGGGGCTGGTCGAGGCCTGGAGCTGGGTCTGGTCACGACGTGGGGTGGGGGTGGGGGGCTGTCACCGCAGCCCAGGCATGACGAGGAAGCCGGCTGCAGCAGTGGAAAGCCAGACACTTTAGCAAGGTGTCTGCACCCCCTCTTCCCCTCTCCCAGCCACGGTGTGAACGGCCACAGGCGGCCAGTGAGCATGAGCGTGTGGGAGGAACCTGAGGAAAGCAGCGCCAGTCTCCCTGCGCCTGGGTCTGCCCGGCCCTCCCCGCCCTTTTCAGAGCACCCCTAAAACAGCCGAGGCCACCCAGAATCTAGCTGGTGAGCCCCTGCCTCCCCCTTACTGAAGAGGGTGCTTGTTAGCGGCCACCAGGAATTGCAAATCTTCCTGAGAACAATGACTCTCGCTTCCCGGAATGCTCCTCGCTCCTACCAGGAAGGGGGCGACGCCCAGACTGGCACTGGGGTGCTGCGCCGTAGGCGCCTGCCAGGTGCGTGAGCCCGGGCCCCAGGCTGGCCAGCCCGGGCTCCAGGCTCTGGCGGGCAAGGGCAGGACCCTCCCTGCCACAGCGGCCTCTCTAACGTGGCGTGTGAGGAGCACAGAGGCAGGGCTTGACGTTCAAAGATCACTGTTGCACGTCCGTTGTTTTTCTTGGAACGATTCACAAGCTACAGGAAAGTTGTGAAGATCGTACTGAGAGTTCCCGGCAGCCCGATGTGGGCATCCCTGTCGGGCTGAAGGCACCACACAGCTGCGCACCAGCACCGACTCCAGACTTTCTTCAGACCTCACCGGTTTTCCCACTAATGGACGCTTCTGCTCCAGAATCCAAGCCAGAATCCCACATTAATTACTGACTCAGTGTTTAACAAAAATGCCCCCAAATGGAGATATTTAAAATAACCTGGTTGGACTTAAATGTAAATGTCAGATTTCCTATTTTTGGACACCCCTCTGGAAGTCTGCCTTCGAGCACAACGAGGGAAATATTCAGGCTCACTAGTGTCTACATTTATCATGTTTTCCACTATTTTCTCCTGATAATAAATGGATTGGAAATACTTGCATATAGTTTTCAAGTCATCAGATCAATTCAAAGAACTTTCTTCTGCGGTGCCACTCAAAATGCAAATGCTTGACTTTCCCCCCTTGTGTATTTTCCAGATTTTCTACAACAGATAATTTTATAATCAGAATTAAAAAAAAGTGCAGTATGCCAAGTTATATTTGGTTAAGGAAACAGAACTTCTCTCTAATCTCTATTCTGGGGGCTCGCTTATGTCTGGAGTATTTGCTGCAAGAAGCAGCCTGAACAGGGCGGGGCTGACTTGCGTTTCTCTTCCCTGATCAGAGTTCAGGCCGAGTTCTTTAACAGCACTAAGCCCAGTTCAGCTCATGCTAGAGGTAGCCACTGGCGCGGACTGAATTCCTGTTGGCGTTTCTCCATGTTAGGGCCCAGAGCTCGGGAGTTTGAGGGCATCACGTGCAGTAAAGCAAGAGAGCACAACAGACATGGACATTCCCATAGTGCGTAAGTGGAGAACAAACCATTCCGGAAGGCAGTGGGAGAGGAAGGCCAGTGGTCTCAACAAACGTCGCCAGGGATCTGAGGTCAAGAGCGAGAGGGAGGGAACGGGAAAGGGATTCAACTTAAGTAAAAGTGATGCTGGTCTAAGCTTAGAAACACGACACACGGGGCCAGGCCCTCGTCACGTGACTGTCCAGCACCCCGGGTCCCTTTCTGATGTCGCACGGGTTCTGGCTTGGCCATGCGGCTTGCTGACTGTTGGGGAGGATGTCCTGCAGGAACTCTGCAGAGTTTTGCGGACTCCACCCCTACTCGAGAAAACTACAACTCCCAGCAATACCGGGGAGAGACCTGTGAGGACCCAAGGGCGGAGCTCAGCAGCACTCCGGGACTTTCGGGGGGACATAAGGGAGCGGTGGGAGCCGCTCTCTCTGTCCCCGGACCGCGGGGCTCTCCGGACTCAGAGGCTGGTGGCCAGCGGCTTGGCGCTTGATGAGCTATCAGT